TTTAATCAGTATTGTACATATTAAAGTATTTTTGACTGGTGGTGAACAGGTGACATGCAGCCTTAATGACCCTCGTGTAGTAGATAGAATTTAAACCTAGTTAACCAGCAATTAACTCAACCGAGTGTTGTGTATATACAGAGAGAGAGAGAGAGAGAGAGAGAGAGAGAGAGAGAGAGAGAGAGAGAGAGAGAGAGAGAGGAGAGAGAGAGGCCCACAGATGGCTCCAACTTCATCCTGTTCCCTACTTGTATGTCTCATAACAAAAATGCTTTCAAATGAGCTGATGTAGGTAACAGCTCTTAGCTTGCCAATAAAGTTAGGAATCCTTAACCTGTAAATAGCTGTCAATAAAGCTAGGGATCCTTAACCTTGTCAAACCCTGTGTAAAAAAAAAAAAAAAAAAAAAAAAAAAAAAAAAAAAAAGAGAGAGAGAGAGAGAGAGAGAGAGAGAGAGAGAGAGAGAGAGAGAGAGAGAGAGAGATCATGACTAACAAACATTACCTTAGGGTAAACAAGGGGGAATTCCAGTGACACGAGGTAACCACTGGGAGGGGGGAGAGGGGGATACTCTCTCTCTCTCTCTCTCTCTCTCTCTCTCTCTCTCTCTCTCTCTCTCTCCTTCTCTTTCTCTCCTTCTCTTTCTCTCAAGTAGAGAGGAAACGCTAAGACTTCCGCTATCGGCGTCGACATATAAGCCAGTTTCCTGCCTACATCAGGGTAGGTCAGGTCACTGTCAGGGTCAGGTCACTGTCAGGATCAGGTCACTGTTAGGGTAAGGTCACTGTCAGGGTCACGTCACTGTCAGCATCAGGTCACTGTCACTTAGGGTCAGGTCAATGGGTGGATGGGGTCGGGTACCTGGATGTAGCCTTCAAGAATCCTTGTACTGAGTGGCCCATACAGGGTTAATAATAATAATAATAATAATAATAATAATAATAATAATAATAATAATAATAATAATAATAATAATAATAATAATCAGCACACTGTGGGTATTCCCACTGTGTAAAGTTAAGAAAAATAGATATCTGTCCAGTGATGTCATGTCCACCTTGGCCAGTGATGTCATGTCCACCTTGGCCAGTGATGTCATGTCTACCTGGTCCACACAAGGTCATTACCAAGGCTTCAGTCTCACCCTCACCTGGAACCTGACTGCGTCACCTGGAACGCCAGGTGGCGTTGGATACCTTCAGACAATACACACTGAAAAAAATTAAGTCATCCCCTGAAATGCTGCTCCAGAGGTCTGAAACACTGCTTCAGAGACCTGAAACGCTGCTTCAGTGACCTGAAACGCTGCTTCAGAGGTCGGAAACACTGCTTCAGAGACCTGAAACGCTGCTTCAGAGGTCTGAAACCTTATCTCAGACAATCGATATGATATAGAAAAGATTCGTCTGTCTTCCAAGTTTACAGTTTCTTGTACGCTCCTTCCCAGAGCACCTGAAGTGTCCTAGCTCAGACTGACACTACTGAAGTCTCCCATCTCAGGCTGACACTACTGAAGTCTTCCATCTCTGCCTGACACTACTGAAGTCTCCCAGCTCAGGCTGACACTACTGAAGAATCCCAGCTCAGGCTGACACTACTGAAGTCTTCCATCTCTGCCTGACACTACTGAAGTCTCCCATCTCAGGCTGACACTACTGAAGTCTCCCATCTCAGGCTGACACTACTGAAGAATCCCAGCTCAGGCTGACACTACTGAAGTCTTCCATCTCTGCCTGACACTACTGAAGAATCCCAGCTCAGGCTGACACTACTGAAGTCTTCCATCTCTGCCTGACACTACTGAAGTCTCCCATCTCAGGCTGACACTACTGAAGTCTCCCATCTCAGGCTGACACTACTGAAGTTTCCCATCTCAGGCTGACACTACTGAAGTCTCCCAGCTCAGACTGACACTACTGCAGTCTCCCAGCTCAGGCTGACACTACTGAAGTTTCCCAGCTCAGGCTGACACTACTGAAGTCTCCCAGCTCAGGCTGACACTACTGAAGTCTCCCAGCTCAGACTGACACTACTGAAGTTTCCCAGCTCAGGCTGACACTACTGAAGTCTCCCAGCTCAGACTGACACTACTGAAGTCTCCCATCTCAGGCTGAAACTACTGAAGTCTCCCAGCTCAGACTGACACTACTGAAGTTTCCCAGCTCAGGCTGACACTACTGCAGTCTCCCAGCTCAGACTGACACTACTGAAGTCTCCCATCTCAGGCTGACACTACTGAAGTTTCCCATCTCAGGCTGACACTACTGAAGTTTCCCATCTCAGGCTGACACTAGTGAAGTTTCTCATCTCAGGCTGACACTACTGAAGTCTCCCATCTCAGGCTGACACTACTGAAGTTTCCCATCTCAGGCTGACACTACTGAAGTTTCCCATCTCAGGCTGACACTAGTGAAGTTTCTCATCTCAGGCTGACACTACTGAAGTTTCCCATCTCAGGCTGACACTACTGAAGTTTCCCATCTCAGGCTGACACTAGTGAAGTTTCTCATCTCAGGCTGACACTACTGAAGTCTCCCATCTCAGGCTGACACTACTGAAGTTTCCCATCTCAGGCTGACACTAGTGAAGTTTCTCATCTCAGACTGACACTACTGAAGTTTCCCAGCTCAGGCTGACACTACTGAAGTCTCCCAGCTCAGGCTGACACTACTGCAGTCTCCCAGCTCAGGCTGACACTACTGAAGTCTCCCATCTCAGGCTGACACTACTGAAGTTTCCCATCTCAGGCTGACACTACTGAAGTTTCCCATCTCAGGCTGACACTAGTGAAGTTTCTCATCTCAGGCTGACACTACTGAAGTCTCCCATCTCAGGCTGACACTACTGAAGTTTCCCATCTCAGGCTGACACTACTGAAGTTTCCCATCTCAGGCTGACACTAGTGAAGTTTCTCATCTCAGGCTGACACTACTGAAGTCTCCCAGCTCAGGCTGACACTACTGAAGTTTCCCATCTCAGGTTGACACTACTGAAGTCTCCCAGCTCAGGCTGACACTACTGCAGTCTCCCAGCTCAGACTGACACTACTGAAGTTTCCCATCTCAGGCTGACACTACTGAAGTTTCTCATCTCAGGCTGACACTACTGAAGTCTCCCATCTCAGGCTGACACTACTGAAGTTTCCCATCTCAGGCTGACACTACTGAAGTTTCCCATCTCAGGCTGACACTACTGCAGTCTCCCAGCTCAGACTGACACTACTGAAGTCTCCCAGCTCAGGCTGACACTACTGCAGTCTCCCAGCTCAGACTGACACTACTGAAGTTTCCCATCTCAGGCTGACACTAGTGAAGTTTCTCATCTCAGGCTGACACTACTGAAGTCTCCCATCTCAGGCTGACACTACTGAAGTTTCCCATCTCAGGCTGACACTACTGAAGTTTCCCATCTCAGACTGACACTACTGCAGTCTCCCAGCTCAGACTGACACTACTGAAGTCTCCCAGCTCAGGCTGACACTACTGAAGTTTCCCAGCTCAGGCTGACACTACTGCAGTCTCCCAGCTCAGGCTGACACTACTGAAGTCTCCCAGCTCAGGCTGACACTACTGCAGTCTCCCAGCTCAGACTGACACTACTGCAGTCTCCCAGCTCAGACTGACACTACTGCAGTCTCCCAGCTCAGACTGACACTACTGAAGTCTCCCAGCTCAGGCTGACACTACTGCAGTCTCCCAGCTCAGACTGACACTACTGCAGTCTCCCAGCTCAGGCTGACACTACTGAAGTCTCCCAGCTCAGGCTGACACTACTGCAGTCTCCCAGCTCAGGCTGACACTACTGAAGTCTCCCATCTCAGGCTGACACTACTGAAGTCTTCCATCTCAGGCTGACACTACTGAAGTCTCTCAGCTCAGACTGACACTGAGGCTGACACTGAGGCTGACACTGAGGCTGACACTGAGGCTGACACTGAGGCTGACACTGAGGCTGACATTGAGGAATAAACTCATTCAACAAAATGAGTCGACTTAACTAATTACGTTGATCATTGTTGTGGTGTTCACTCCATGAAGGTCGTGAACACCAGCCGGGGTGAACACCAGCCGGGGTGAACACCAGCCGGGGTGAACACCAGCCGGGGTGAACACCAGCCGGGGTGAACACCAGCCGGGATGAACACCAGTCGGGGTGAACACCAGCCGGGGTGAACACCTGCCGGGGTGAACACCAGCCGGGGTGAACACCAGCCGGGGTGAACACTAAGCGTTCAGCTGCTGGGGTGAACACCCAGTGTTCAGTTGCTGGGGTGAACAGCAAGTGTTCAGCTGCTGGGGTGAACACCCAGTGTTCAGCTGCTGGAGTGAACACCTAAGTGAACACACACACACACAACACACGTTTCCCCAACAGCCAAACGTTTCGCACATGTCTAGTTCCTCAACACATCTCAATGGAGCTAAAGAGGAGCCTTAATGGGACACGGAAAGTCATTAGACAATTAATTACCTCTCTAACTCTTCTGTTACCTTCAACACCCTGGACTGAGGTGTTGTTTCCTGTAGTCCCATGTGCAACACCTACGTGTGTTTATTTCCCAAGACGTTTCGCTAACCAGAGCCTTTTTTTTCAGTTCAGTAGACAGCTCAGGAAGAGTGTTGGAAAATACACTGGTCGTGTCTGACTAGTTGGCGAAACGTCTTCAAGATGACACCTAGGTGTTGTATACGTATCTAAGTCATCAACTAGTTGGCGAATCCTTAAAATAATAACACCTAGGTGTAGCACACGTGTCCAGTTGATCAGCTGGTCACCATTGCACACCATCCTTGCAATGGTCTGGTTACGTAGCCTGGGAGTGCTATGTGATGGTAGTGACCCTGGGAGTGATCAGTACACTCTCCTCCCACTCTAACAATACTCTCCCAGGAACAAAGAATGACAGCAAGCAAGGGCAATCCTTGGCACTGCAATTGCTATGTATAACAGTGAAATTCCCGTAGCGAAATGTTCACAGTGTTTTGATTTCTGCTTTGCAGGGGATGGAGTGTTGGTGGTGCTGCCGGAGCTTGCTGTTCCATAGTCAGGTGAGCAGAGTTGAAGTTGAACGTTGGGAGAGTGTTTCACTCTATGGTCTGATAAAACTCTCCACAGAGCGAAACGTGGCTTGAGGTTTAAGAAACTCTGTAAGGTAACGAGGTATATATTATATATATATATATATATATATATATATATATATATATATATATATATATATATATATATATATATATATATATATAAACATTCACCGAGGTCCCTCCAGGCACATCCGGGAAGTGTAAAAAGCAGTGTCTCCCACCGTGAGTAGTGAGCTAGAACATAAGAAAGAAGGAACACTGCAGCAGGCCTACTGGCCCATGCGAGGCAGTTCCAGGTTACCCACCGGCCCAGGGCAGGTCACACCAATTTATGGAAGGAGCACTGCACCAGACCCATCAACACAAACTAGTCAGGTTCAACTCACACCCACCCACACCCACTCATGTATTTATCTAATCTATTTTTATTTTAAAAGTACACAACGTTTTAGCTTCTACGACGGTACTCGGGAGTTTGTTCCACTCATCCACAACTCTATTACCAAACCAGTGCTTTCCTATATCCTTCCTGAATCTGAATTTTTCCAACTTAAAACCATTGCTGCGAGTCTTGTTTTGGCTAGATATTTTTAGCACGTTATTTACATTCCCTTTATTTATTCTTGTTTTCCATTTATACACTTCAGTCATATCCACCCTAATTCTACACCTTTCTAGAGAGTGCAGATTCAGGGCCTCAGTCTATCCTCATAGGGAAGATTTCTGATACATGGGATCAACTTTGTCATCCTCCTTTGTACATTTTCCAGAGCATTTATATCCATTCTGTAATATGGTGACCAGAACTGAGCAGCATAATCTAAATGAGGCCTAACTAAGGATATATAGAGTTGAAGAACAACCTGAGGACTTCTATTATTTATACTCCTTGCTATGAAGCCAAGAATTCTGTTAGCTTTATTGCGAACACTAATACACTGTTGTCTTGGTTTTAGATTACTGCTAACCAGAACTCCTAAATCCTTTTCGCAATCAGTAGTATTAAGATCTACACTATTCAGTTTATAAGTGGCATGGTTACTGTCCTGTCCAATATTTAGAACTTTGCATTTGTCTATATTAAACTGCATCTGCCACTTCTCCGACCACTGCATCACTATATTCAAATCTTTCTGGAATCACTGAGTCCTGAGAGTGAGAGTCCAGAGAGTAAGTCCAGAGAGTAAGAGTCCAGACAGCGTCCATGGATGGAGGAAGGATGCAAGGCGCCAGTCTCCCCACTCCATCCTGGTCTGCAGTGGCCCAACTTAAAGTAAACAGGGATAACGAGATGGCTAATACACCAGTGATGGAGTGGGAGGAGAGCTGCATGTCTGGGGTTGAGGGAGTGTTGAGTGTGGGGGTTGCAGGTGTGTGTGTGGGGGGTTGCAGGTGTGTGTGGGGGGTTACAGGTGTGTGTGTGTGTGTGTGTGTGTGTGTGTGTGTGTGTGTGTGTGTGTGTGTGTGTGTGTGTGTGTGTGTGTGTGTGTGTGTGTGTGTGTGGGAAGTTGCTAAACTTCACTCTTCATCCTGATAGCAGACAGATACAAACACTGGCCACAACATCTGCGCAATACTCGTGTTTCTTTTTTGTGGAGACGTTTCGCCAACCAGCGGCTTTATCAGTCATTAGATTCATCAAGTGAGGGACTGAACACCCTTTATCAAGGCTGAGGGACTGAACACCCTTTATCAAGGCTTAGGGACTGAACACCCTTTATCAAAGTTGAGGGACTGAACACCCTTTATCAAGGCTGAGGGACTGAACACCCTTTATCAAGGCTTAGGGACTGAACACCCTTTATCAAGGCTTAGAGACTGAACACCCTTTATCAAGGCTGAGGGACTGAACACCCTTTATCAAGGCTGAGGGACTGAACACCCTTTATCAAGGCTTAGAGACTGAACACCCTTTATCAAAGTTGAGGGACTGAACATCCTTTATCAAGGTTGAGAGACTGAACACCCTTTATCAAGGTTGAGGGACTGAACACCCTTTATCAAGGTTGAGGGACTGAACACCCTTTATCAAGGTTGAGGGACTGAACACCCTTTATCAAGGCTTAGAGACTGAACACCCTTTATCAAAGTTGAGGGACTGAACACCCTTTATCAAGGCTGATGGACTGAACACCCTTTATCAAGGCTGAGGGACTGAACACCCTTTATCAAGGTTGAAGGACTGAACACCCTTTATCAAGGTTGAGAGACTGAACACCCTTTATCAAGGTTGAGAGACTGAACACCCTTTATCAAGGTTGAGGGACTGAACACCCTTTATCAAGGTTGAGGGACTGAACATCCTTTATCAAGGTTGAGGGACTGAACACCCTTTATCAAGGTTGAGGGACTGAACACCCTTTATCAAGGTTGAGGGACTGAACACCCTTTATCAAGGCTGAGGGACTGAACACCCTTTATCAAGGCTGAGGGACTGAACACCCTTTATCAAGGTTGAGGGACTGAACACCCTTTATCAAGGCTGAGGGACTGAACACCCTTTATCAAGGCTGAGGGACTGAACACCCTTTATCAAGGCTGAGGGACTGAACACCCTTTATCAAGGCTGAGGGACTGAACACCCTTTATCAAGATTGAAGGACTGAACACCCTTTATCAAGGCTGAGGGACTGAACACCTCAAACTCCTTCTGCACGTCCGTCATCCTTTCCAGTATTGTGATGAATAGTTTAGAAAACCGACAAGTTGAAGAATTGAGACACTTATGCAACACATGGGAATCTTTATTGAAGAAACGTTTCGCCACACTGCGACTTCATCAGTCCAATACAAAGTAGAAATGGGTAAGGAGAGGAGAAGTTTGAGGTAATCAGTCCCTCAACTTGGAATCGATGTGTTCAGTGCATCACTTGTAGGAAATGCAGCACAGGGCCAGAGAGGTGGCTTATATTCTGCAGTCAGATGAGGTGAAGCAGGAGGAGGCGGGATCACAGTGGGACCTGCCACTAGTGTAAGTAGCAGGAGGAGGCGGGATCACAGTGGGACCTGCCACTAGTGTAAGTAGCAGGAGGAGGCGGGATCACAGTGGGACCTGCCACTAGTGTAAGTAGCAGGAGAGGCGGGATCACAGTGGACCTGCCACTAGTGTAAGTAGCAGGAGGAGGCGGGATCACAGTGGGACCTGCCACTAGTGTAAGTAGCAGGAGGAGGCGGGATCACAGTGGGACCTGCCACTAGTGTAAGTAGCAGGAGGAGGCGGGATCACAGTGGGACCTGTATAACGGGTTTATTTGGTTGGCTGTAGAGCGGTGTTAATGATATAGTTCTTCGGAGGCTTCTTACTTTATTGATAAGTCGTTGTGGGTTACACAGGCTTGAGTGTTTGTGCCCATGGCCCGGGCAGGGCCATGCCCGCGAGAGAGAGCTGGGAGTACTTGTGTCTTGATGCCAGGCCGCTGTGTGTGTGAGAGCGAGGCAAGTCTGGGCATACTGAAGTGGCAAGGCCTACAGGTGGCAGCACTTGAGTGGCGCGAAATATGAACTAAGCTGGCAGACAGCATGGGCTGTCTGTGCAGACAGTACAGGCTGTCTACATACGCTCGGCCACCTACCGCGCGTCGTCCCGACGCGACAATACTGGTAGTAAAAGAAACTCGGTCTCTCTCTCGTAGGAACAGGGCACAGAACACAAAATAAAAACATATATATACATATGGACATGAAAAAAAAAACTTCCTACAGGGAGGGAAGAAAAAAACATGTGGGGTGTGCTAAACATCGTGGTCATAGGCAGTGAGCGTCGATGGGCATCACTGCACGCCTTCCTGCGTCTGGACAGATACTGCAACATGGGAGACATCGCTGCAGCTGAGCTGTGACGTAGCAGGGTACGGTCTCCTCTGGAACGGTGAAGCAGACATCGTAGGAGTCGCTGCAGGTTTTCACTCAACCTGGGGCACGACATGCTGGTGCCCTTGAGTGAGGCGTCGACAAAACTCGGCAACTGGGCAGGACTTCTGGCAAGCGACTCAGGAGGACACTTCTCGACTGGTACTGTCGCTGGGCTATCACTGCCAGCGAGCGTGGAGCGAGTTGTGGAGCGAGTCGTGGCAGAGACGACTGGGCGAAACATCTGGGAGTCGTAACATCATACACCAGACTGCAGTGAGAGAGCTAGCAGTCAAAGTGACGACTTCTTTGTGCAGGCTGCTCACTGAAGCTTGTGACACGAGGCTGACACAGCGCCTGCCGACAGGGCTGGCTGCGGCTTGACGAGTATCATCTCTCGACAGTTAGAGTTATAGCAGAGGTTAGTCTAAGCGTCCCCAGACTTGTTTCTCTACATATAACTGCACTCTGAAGGTCTGGAGGTGAAGTGAAACAAATCTCGATGGGAATCGTAGCAGGTACGATTCTGTAGAACAACACGAGCGACGAGTATAAAAGCTTTCTGTACAAGGGGGCTCATACGCTCAGGGCTGAGTAATCAGCTGTCAAACACACTGGTCAGGCGGGTGACTTAACACAGTGGTGCTACTCAAGGGTCTGACCACAGACCTCACTGGACACATGGAAAACTTACAAACACACCGCTGTACATACGGTACAACATGGCTTAACTAGCAAATGATCCTTTTCTGCGCATAAAACTGACTAAGACATACTAAAATGTGAGAACACTGACTGAGAGGAATTAATTAACACACGACATATATCTTCTCTCAATCTTCTCGACAATACTGAAATAATTACCAGAACACTCGATGTGACATCATGTGATGTCAGGCGTGATGTCGCAAGGTGATGTCAGCAGCACTGTGACGTCAGCAGACATCTCGAGGTTGACGTCAGGCAGACATCGCGAGGTGACGTCAGGCAGACATCGCGAGGTGACGTCAGCAGACATCGTGACGTCATGAAGTCGGGCAGCATCGTGGGTGGCGTCGATGTGATGCGGGAAGCAGACCACAGCATGAGGCCTGGGACATCTGGTAACTCACGTG